CCCCCGCCCCGCCAAGGCCTGGCCTGAGCAAACCAGAATCTCCCTGATTTCAGGTTTCGGGCCCTTCCGGCAGCACCTGGTGAATTCCAGCTGGGAAGCAGTGAAGGTAAACACGGGCCAGGCCAGCTCCTTTGGGGGCCAGCTCCATGCGGGAGGGCCCTGGGGAAGGCCCGGCTTCTGGGCCTGGGTGGGTCCTCGCCTGCCCCAGGTGGCCCTGTTGGCTGTGTGGTAAAACAACAACAAGGCTAGCCCAGCCGGTGTGGCTCAGTGGTTGAGCACTGACCTATGAACCAGGAGGTCACTGTTTGATTCCCAGTCAGGGCACATGCCCAGGGTGCGACTTGGTCCCCATTGGGGGGCGTGCAGGAGGCAGCCAATCAACCATTCTCTCTCATCATTGATGTTTCTCTCTTTCTCCCTCTCTGTCCTCTCTGAAATCAATAAAAATGCAGTGTTGTGTTTTTTTTTAAGTGGTTGCCAGGAAAGCTGGTTGCTACATTGGTGAGGTCCCTGCAGACAATGGGGAGAAGGGGGGGTGGTGGTGGGGAGGGGGGTGTCTCGTTTTATCCTCAGGCTGGTTATCATCTCAGGCCTTCTCATGTTAACAAGAACACAAAACAAAACCCACCGGGGGACTAGCCCCGACCAGCGATCGAACCCGAAACCTAGGTATATGCCCTTGACCAGGAATCGAACCCACCACCCTTTGGTTTCGGTGTATGGGAGGATGCTGCAACCAACGGAGCCACACGGGCCAGGGCTGCCTGCCTCTCTCAACAGGAGCTCTCCAAGCTGGGCCTGGGGAGCGACGCGGAGGTGGAGCTGCGGGCGCTCCAGCTGCCCGTGGATTACAGGGAGGTGAAGCGGAGAGTCACCAGAATCTGGGAAGATCTGCAACCGCAAGTAAATGACGGCTGGGGAGCCACAGCTGGGGAGCCAGTGGGGGTCAGGTGGGGGGTTTGCTGATGATGAGATGGAGCCCCAGAGCCTGGGAACCTCTGGACCCCTGTTCTAGAGTTGCTGGCTTAAGTGCACCCCCGGCCCTGCATCTCACCAGCACAATCCAGGGGGGTTTATAAGGTTCTGGGCCCGTTTCTCAACGTTTCAGCTGTAATAAATGCCACAGTTTGCCGACCACTGCGCTGATTTGGCTCAGTAGATAGAGCATCAGCCTGCGGACTGAAGGATTCACGGTTCGATTCCCCGTCAGGGCACATGCCCGGGTTGTGGGCTCAAACCCCAGCAGGGGGCATGCAGGAGGCAGCCCATCCATGACTCTCTTTCATCACTGATGTTTCTCTCTCTCAAATCAATATCTACGTGGGTTTTTTGTTTGTTTGTTATAATGGAAGCTTTATTCCCAGCCAGAACTCCAAAGATAAGTTTCCCCCTAACAGACAGGCCTTGGGTTAGTTGCCAGCCACGCCCATGCAGGGAAGTTCGCTGTGAAGTGGGACCTCGTGGGCTGGGGGGGGGGGGGGGGGGGGGGGGGTGCCACCTGCCTTACACCCAGCTCAGTGGTTCTCAACCTTCTGGCCCTTTAACTACAGTTCCTCATGTGATGACCCAACCAAAACATTATTTTCGTGGCTACTTCATCACTGTCATGTTGCTACTGTGACGAACCGTCATGTAAATATCTGATATGCAGGATGGTCTTAGGTGACCCCTGTGAAAGGGTCGTTCGACCGCCAAAGGGGTCGCGACCCACAGGTTGAGAACCGCTGACCCAGCCCATCTTATCCCAACAGCTACTTATATACAAAATGGGTTCAAATATCCCGCAAATACTACAGAGCCCAGGCAACGAGAGGAGCAAAACAGACACCTCCACCCCGAGACAATGCCCCCAAGGGCCTCGAGGAAAACGCTTAGCTGTGTTTCCAAAAGGAAAAAACAACCCGTTCAAGACATTCTGAGACCGACTTCCTGCCTCAGCGTTGCCAAGGCAACGCCAGGCGTCCCCTGTGGTCTCAGAGAGCAGCGAGACCCCCGGAAAGGGGATGGGGGGGACACAGAGGAATATTCCACCCTGTGTGCGGGTATTTTTAAATATAAAAGCATTTAAATAGACGACGCCTCACGGTTTTCTATCCGGCGGCCTACGAATGAGGGGAAGGAGGGCGGAGGCCCGAAAGCGCAGTCGCGGTTTGAGAGGTTTCCCCCGCCTCGCACTCGCCCCCGGCTGGGTCCTCGGGACAGATGGTGACAGACAGGCCTCAGTTTCCCTAAATTGCCCGCCGCCCCCTGTCCGCACAGCTCACCGTGCACGTGGGCGTGGACGCCGCCGCCAAGGCCGTGGTTCTCGAGCAGCGCGGCCGGAACCGCGGGTATCGCGAGACCGACGTCCGTGGCTTCCGGCCCGAGCAGGGCGCGTGCGTCCCGGATGGCCCGGAAGTGATTGAGTCGCGGGTCGACATGAAGGCGGTCAGCAGGCGCGTGGCTGTGGAGGGCGTGGAGGTGATGTTCTCCCGCGATGCCGGCAGGTGCGTTTCGTCGCGTCACTGAGAAGCAAGGAGAGGATGACCTCCTTTCTTTTTCTATTTTTAAAAAATTAAATATATTTTTATTGATTTCAGAGAGGAAGGGAGGGGGAGAGCATCATGGATCGGCTGCCTCCTGCAGGCCGCCTCCTGGGGATCCAGCCCGCAACCTGGGGCCTGTGCCTTGACCGGAACTGGAACGGTGACCCCCTGGCCCACAGGTTGAGGCTCAACCATTGGGCCACACCGGCCAGCCTGACCCATCTTTCTTCTAGGATGCCTCCCTTCGAAAAGGCCCCCGTGTGCCCTTCCACTTGGGCAGCAGTGCCCCCCCAGGGTGGTTCTTGCAGACTAGCCTGTTGTCCCCCACACCCTGCATCCCAAGGTCCCCTCCCCCTAACACAGCGTTGGGTGCGTTGGTAGAAAAAAAGATGTGATGGCACATTTTGAGAGCCACTCATAGTTTGGGGGTGCTCTATTTTTATCGACTGCAGCCAACGTGGTGATTGCACTATTCTGATAGATTAACTTATCTTTGTTTCTCCAAACTCTGACTCCCAGTAGGTGGCTTCTCCTCCCTGCAAAAAAATAAAATAAAATAAAAATGAATGAATGTGGCCAAAACCGGTTTGGCTCAGTGGATAGAGCGTCGGCCTGCGGACTGAAAGGTCCCAGGTTCGATTCCGGTCAAGGGCATGTACCTGGGTTGCGGGCACATCCCTAGTGGGAGGTGTGCAGGAGGCAGCTGATCGATGTTTCTCTCTCATCGATGTTTCTAACTCTATCTCTTTTCCTTCCTCTCTGTAAGAAATCAATAAAATATATTTTTAAAAAAATGAATGAATGTGGACACCAATGAGAGGGGTTCACAGGTTAAAGGTGAAGCCGGCTCGGCCACTTGCTGGTCATAAGACCACAAGGCTAAGAGCCGGTCTCTCCCCAGCTTATTCCTAGTAACACTTTCTTTTCTTTCCTTTTTAAAAATATATTTTATTGATCTTTTGCAGAGAGGAAGGGAGAGGGATAGAGAGTTAGAAACATCGATGAGAGAGAAACATCAATCAGCTGCCTCCTGCACACCCCCTACTGGGGATGTGCCCGCAACCAAGGTACATGCCCTTGACCGGAATCAAACCTGGGACCCTTCAATCTGCAGGCCGATGCTCTATCCCCCGAGCCAAACTGGTTAGGGCAACACCTTTCTGAGGCAGAAGGACAAGACCTGCGTCTCCCTGGGTGGCGGTTTGGGGATGCTACAGCACCACCGCTGCTTAGCTTACCTCTCTCTGGTCCAGCGAGTCACCTGAGTTTCCTGCGGTTGCAGATACGTCTGCGATTACACCTACTACCTGTCTTTGCATCACGGAGATGGGCGTGCGGCGCTCATCCACGTGCCCCCGCTGTCTCCGGAGCTCCCCGCCAGCCTGCTGGGGAAAGCCCTGCAAGTCGTCATCCAGGAGATGCTGGCGGACGGTGAGAATGCCCAGGGTCAAAGCCTGGTGCCCAGAAAACAAACCCTCGGTGGTTCCAGCCAGGCAGAACCAACCCGGGCGCTGCTGCCCCTTTGGAGACAAGGGGACGTGTCAGTCCTGTGTGGAGAGTTCAGCTGTGCTTGGGGAGGCGTTTTAAAAAATCGCTTGTAACACAGTTTACACGGAGGGACAGGTTCTGAATTAGCCTGACGAAGTCACAGTTATTTTATAGTCAGAAGGCAGGACAACACTCTGAAAGGCAGACATTTCACCAGGAATTAACTAGCTCCGCTTATGGTTTTCATGACAGTGAAATGAAATCCTAGTCATTTTTTTTTTCCTCTTAGACAAGATGGTGCAGCGGTGGGCTGAGCCATGACCACCTGGCCGTGGGGACATCCAGGTGTGGTCACCGCTCGGTGCCCCATTCCCGACCTCTGAGCTCTGACATCCAGGCGCTGTGGGCACCTTTGAGCCACCGAGTCTTAATTGTTTCTTTGTTTCTTGTCCTTTTTCCACTTAAGGAAAAAAAAAAAAATGGTGGTCACATCATCCTGTTTTCTAGGGCAGCCGCACCATTTTTCTATTCCTACCTGCAGTGTTTGGTCTTAAAGCAAAGGGTAATGGCTAGGTTTGCTTCTCTCCTCTTTTCATCTTTCACGACACTGCCCTGGCTCATGGTCAGGTTTTACCTGCCCAGTGTTTCCTTGTAAGCAGATTTCCACGGGGAGCCCCGTTAGCAACATGTTCGGAGGAAAGGACTGACGGTGATTAAGCTCTGGGAAATTTCTTTTTTCTTTTTTTTTTAAATATATTTTTTATTGATTTTTTTACAGAGAGGAAGGGAGAAAGATAGAGAGTTAGAAACATCGATGAGAGAGAAACATCGATCAGCTGCCTCCTGCACATCCCCCACTGGGGATGTGCCCGTAACCCAGGTACATGCCCTTGACCGGAATCGAACCTGAGACCCCCAGTCCGCAGGCCGACGCTCTATCCACTGAGCCAAACCGGTTTCGGCTGGAAATTTCTTACTGTCTCGGTGTGCTCGCAGCTATTACTTTTCACTTAATTATGTTTCCCAAAAAAATGGTCACTTCGTGCTCAGATTCATTCACGCTAAGAAACAGTATCTGCAACTTCATAACCAGGGGGCTGGGCAAGCCTTGCTTGTTTCAGCGTCAGCCCTTGAGCGCGCCTGTGCGAGTGGGAGAGACCTTATAGGACCTCTTTTGCAAATGAATGTGGTCGCTGGACATACCCCAGACCCAAGTCACGGTGTAGCCTAGCAAAGCCAGCAAGTGGGGGTGGGATGGTCTGGCCAGCACAGTTGTTCGTGTGCAGATCCTTCCGTGTTTGTAGGCAAGCACTGCTCCCCAGAGCCCTTGTTGCCCCCGCCCCTCCCTCTTCTAGTTCCTGTCTCAGGACGGTGGCGAGCAGGGGGCCTTCGGTCCCGGCTCCTGTGTGACTTCACATGGCATGGCACCAAGCCATACACAGGTCACGGACTTTTAGACGTGATTCTGTGGGGAGGCCCAGAGCTCCCTCCTGATGAATGCGTCATTTCTCCCCCTCACGGCCTCCGAAATGCTTGAGGGAGAACCCCAGAGGCCCGTGTCCCGGGCTGAGCGGCCTGCCACCTCACCCCCCCTCACTGACACACGCCGGGGCCTGGTTAGTTAGGCATGTGCGGCAGTTCTGAGTCGGTTTGAAAACCACAGCGGAAAAGGCCGAGCCGTGGATTGGTCATTTACTGGCCGGGAGGCGGGTCTTGGGCATGGCTGCCTGTTGGCTCATCTCTGAAACTAATAAAAATGCCTCCTCCGCAGAGATGTTACAGAGATGCAGTGAGAGAATGGAGGTGAAGGTCCCTCAGTGATGGGAGACGGCCACGCTGCTGCCGGACCCGTGAGGAGGAAAAGAGGAACGGCCCTGCTGGACCTGAGGTCTCAGGAAGTGGCAAGGTGGGGACAGGTGCTCCTAACACTTCTGAAGACCCAGCGCCTTCACGCTTCTGAGGACAGGTGCAGCCCGGGAGGCAGCGTGGACCCGCCTGGGGACTTGGGAGAGGCACACCTGCCGCCTGTGTTCACCCTGCCCGCAGCCCAGACACCCCGGGGCCTTGGAAACGAGCCTGCCTGTAGTCATTGGTCGTCTAGTAACGGCCCCCTGAGGGCCAAGCACTTCCTGCCAACGGTGAGCAAATCCCAGGGTGAACACGGAGCTTGAGAATTTATTTTTTTGTTACTCCTCACCCACAGATATTTTTCCATTCATTTTTAGAGAGAACGGAAGGGAAGGGAGAGACAGAGAGACATCCATGTCAAAAAGACACACTGATGGGCTGCCTCCCGCACGGCCCCAACTGTGGGGCAAGCCCGCCAAACGGGCATGCGCCCTGACGGGGAATGGAACTGTGACCTCCCAGTTCATAGGTCGACGCTCAACCACTGAGCCACGCCGGCCGGCCACAGCTTGTGTCCTTTAAACGTGTATTCACATTTCCCCCCGTGACCATTTCCCTGGCAAAGATCATGCGGCCTGGGCTGTAGAGTCCTCGGGGCAGCCCGAGACCATGAACTTGTAAGGAGCGAACCCTTGTGAACACCTCCAGCGAGCCACATCCTAGGCGTGCTCACTCGGTTCTCCCCGCCCCCTCTGAGTAGGTGTGCTGACTGTGAGGTGCCAACAGACGTGGAAATGTGGAGGTCAAGTCCTTTGCCCCAGGGTCCCCCAGATCAAGCTGCCCCCTTTGGCCTTTTGTCTGTGGAAAGTGTAGGAAAAGTCTACAGATCAGTGGAAACAGAAGTACAGATTTCTGTATTTTAGGTATTCAGATCTTCTTGTAGCTGATTTAATGGAGTGAGAAGCAGAATGCCCCCGTCTCCACCAGCAGTTTGCATGCTGTGAGGGTTCAGCTGTCTGTCAGCAATAAAACAAAACCATCACGCTGAACACCTCCGAGCGACACGTGTGAACACGCATGCCACACGCAGCTCAGCGCCCCTGCCTCAGAAGTGTGGTGAGTCTTGCACGGAGGCGCAAACAAAATTGGAGGCCTGACGTGCATACTGAATTCCTTTATTGAACGTAAACCATGTAATACTTGAACTACTAGAAAAAAGCGTAAGATAAACTAAAGTCGCATTAGCTTCAGCCATTCAAAATAGACAAAGTTTCTTTTCTCCCCCCATAATGTAAAGAATCCAGAGTATATCGCGATAACAGGGATAAATTCTTACAATGGAGTATACAAAACCATTTTGAAATTTTTTTTTTTTTTAGCTACTGATTTTTTTGTATATAAACAGGAAGTTTTTAGGAATAATTGGTACACAGAAAGTCATTTTTACGTAACAAATTGGCTGTGTCAATTACCGGTTTTTAAAAACATTTTAAAAAACTTTTTTTTTTAAACAAGAAAACTCAGAAAATAAATGATCTGTAATACATCCATTTCATCGCGCCTTCTGGTTTGATTTTGTTTGTTTAAAATTTTTTCCCCAGAGGACCAACTCTGGCAAACCCCTCATGTCAACCCCACTGGCTTACAAAGCACACAGGTGTTTTTGCCAAGCATCTATTCCACCTGTGGACGCGTCTACGCAACACCGAACATCCGAATGCCAAGTTGCAAACAGAAAATACTGTATCTGGACCTTTCTCCCATGTTGTGCAAAACACCCCATTAGCAGTGGCGGGGCTTTTGTGGCATTGTGTAGACGTGGCCCATAACCCACTGGGCGCAAGAGGAAATGGAGTCAGACTTTAAAAAAATTGTGTGTGTGTGTGTGTGGTTTTTATTCAACTTTGTTTTGTATTGGAAAAATGTATCTTCGGTGTTGTGCCTTAAAAAATAAGAGTCTCTGGTTATATATCAAAGCATCAATCATAATATGAGGCATGTAAGCGAACAGTCGGCCGGCACCAGAATTACCGTCTTGCGTGGTAAGTCTGCGTGCGGCCAGCGCTGTGACGCCGCGGAGCTGTGCTGTCAACCGCTCCA